ACCCAACCTATCAAATACACTTTCAGCCTTTTTGGCAGTCTGGTCTGCCAGTAGAGGATGGCTTTTTACTTCATCAGTTTTACTCTTGGACGATTCTCCCCCTAAGAATTATAAATTTCTTTTGGTGAGAGGTTGCTCAACTCCCTCTCTTGTCGAATATTCCACTTTGATTTCGGCCAAAGGAAAAGTGGTAGCCTACTTTCTTTCCATTCTGTTAGCAGTGTCAGTTAAACAATTTATGGCCTCTTTCATGGCAACAAGCTAAGGGTTGTCAACGCCAGTTGGTTCGTTTTTCCTCTTGAAGTCGTGTAGGACTTTGGTCTCATTAGGGTTGGTATGGGATTGATTTCTAAGCATTGAGCTATGATTCATGGTGGTATTTTATACAGAATGTATAGTGAACTTTCTTGGAAGATTATGTGGAAGTGTGGGATTTTTTTTACAAGAAAGCCCTCTTTCTAGCGCCAACTATTCATAGCTAAATATGTAATAAGATATCTAGACAACTTTCACGAAAAGAAGGTGTTTTTTACTAGAGTAATGTTATTCATCCCCAGTGGGGATGAAAACACAGTCTATGTGTCTTTAAATGATAGGTTAAATGAAAGGTGAAATTAAATGACTTATTTAATTTCACCTATCATTTAATGTCACATTGACGCCCTGCAGATNCATCCCCAGTGGGGATGAAAACACAGTCTATGTGTCTTTAAATGATAGGTTAAATGAAAGGTGAAATTAAATGACTTATTTAATTTCACCTATCATTTAATGTCACATTGACGCCATGTAGATTGTGTTTTCATCCCCAGTGGGGATGAATAGTATTACTCTTTTTACTAAAGGAATTTAAGCAAAGTACATAATTAGCATAAAGGGAAAGTATTATTGAAAATGAAATGTTTCTTTCAAAAGGTTCTTAGCTCTCACCCTTACTTTAGGAGGGGACGATTGGTCCCTATTTATAGGAGGGAATACAACACCACTTGGCCGTCTCAAGTCATTTCAACTACAACGTTGTCTTATGAATGTGTGCCATTAACTAATGACCCAATTTTTTGATTGAATGTTAAGGACGACCATGCAGATCATCATGATGTCTATGATTTAGCTATGGCACAATTACTGATGACTTGACGGTGGATAATCATTACTAACTCGTGATTGGTTGCAAAATAGGTGTTGACGTGAACTGCCACATGTCTTTTTGGGAATGGTTGGTGATAAGGTGGGGCAGTTGGAAATATTTTAGTAATCATGATGTTCTCATAAATTACGTCGGCCAATGTCCGAGCTTAAGCTTTCTCGGGCGTAGTTTGACATTATATTGCATTGACCTAGGCCATGTGCTTTTTTTCTAATAAAACTTATATCGGCCACCAATAAAATATGTTGTTGAAAAGTTGTGATTCCAATGAAATCTCTCAATCGTGTAGCACTTTTACTTATATTTTGATCAACTTTTTAAGCAGAATGAAACAAGGATTTAGTATAATTAGACAATTCAGGTAATTAATGAAACATTTTTATTTGTTTTTGGTCATTTAGGAGTTATGAATAGCAAATTGAGGATTAAATGATAGTCTCTGTGTAAATGTTTTTCGGACTTATAGGTTGACTCTATTACTTTTTCACGATATTGTATATTTGCAATAGAAAATACACAACATTGAATCTAAGTCAAGGTTTTTGCAATTGAGAATTTTGATTGTGAAATATAAGGATTGAGTTGAAAAATTTGTGCAACTTTTTTATATGGAGAGTGGGGTATATGAGATACAGGTAGGGGACAAATATGAAAATATGAATGCTTTAAAATAGAATTAAACTATTTGTACACTCTTTGTATACATTAAGTTTGACATTCCAAGATGTGTCAAAATATGTGTCACTAATGGTTTAAAATGTTAAAATTCATGTATAAAAAGTTGTCACATAACAATAATGTCAAACTTGACGTACATATACTAAAATTGTTTAAAATATACGTTGATTGTGTTTTTGTTATATTCATATACGTTGCCCTTGAAAATGTACTAACTTGAAAATTGTGCATAGCTTCAAACATGATAATCTTAATTCAATGTATGTTTGGCAAAGATTTTTGTAGATTACAAATAGTGGGATGTATGGAATGTGTTGATAAAGAGTAGATAAAAAGTTTTAGATTCTTCGAAATGTGAAGATAAAATAATGTTTGATCAACTTATAATTAATTTGAAAAAAGCACTTCCAAACATACTCTCAATAATGTCATCATAAGAAGTAAAAATTTAAATGTAACTCATAAAATCGAAATGTAGTTGTCACAAGATAAATTCGAAATACTTAAAAAAAAAAATGAATAGTTGATAATCTTTATTTATACTGATACCTACTCAACTTGATTAAAGTATAAAAAGAACCAGGTGAAGCATGCGACTTTAACTCGTGAAAGTTCCCAAGAAAATTCAAGAACGTACAAAAACATTTGACTTGTAATGGTGCATTATTCAAATTAAAATGAAGATCACAAGATAATAATAACTATTACTCCTTTGACTATATTTGCATTTGCATATGAAAAATGTCGACATTATTTAACAGTAGACATTTTTTTGGAAATATTATGTAGTCAAATTCCACTAAAAAAATCAACAGGTTTGAAACCCTTTGGGGGGAAGGAGTTTACTGACAGTTATATGCATCGGTATATATACAATTGTCAAATACAGGTAGAAATCAGAATAATGAAAAGGAAACTGATTTCCACAGGATTTCAAGATTTTCAAAGATTCCATGTGTTCATAATTCTTTATGAACTCAGTTCATGAATCTGTTTGCAAAACCTGATTTCTAGAATGAATCATGCACCAAATGATTAAGATCCCAAGATTTTCACAGTTGGATTATGCCCAATAGTGATTAGAAAAGTACAATAAGACAGGTCCAAAAATTTGGGGGAAAAAAAAGTATGAAAAGAAAAAAAAAATGTAGACATCAGAAATTCCATTTTCCTTTATCAATTTCTCAGCACTTTCCAGCTTTTTGTCTAATACTATACAATTAAACTATTGCAACTTGCAATTGCTACAACTCTACGTGAAGTAAAATCAAAAGAAAAATACACCAAAAAACATAGAAAAAGAAATGTTACAAAGCATTGATAACCCTTTGTTTCTTGCTACTGCACTCTAACGTCAAAACATCCAAATCTCTAAACCTCTTATTACCATAGCAACTACCATTACTTGGTACCTCGAATATGTTTACGCCAAATAGTCTTACCATTGGAACTGGCTGGCTCGATATCCCAGCAATCGATCCATTCCCTGCCTTCGAATCGATGTAAAGCTGCTTATCTAGTTGGATCGAACGCTGAAAACTCACAATGTCACCGGCCCGCAAGCCCTTTTCCTTCACAAACCTACTCCACCCCTTTGTTAGGACGTAGCTTTGGCTACTATTCCAATAAGAATATCGAAATCTCCACACTTTTCCACCCATATCTTCAAAATTCAACAAAAAACCTTTGGAATTGTTTTCACTTGGCAAAGGGAAGTGCTTTTCTGCATGTTGCTTAGGTATAACCAGCCGGTTTAGCTTCCCTACATCGCTAGGCGTTACGGCCTTCTCGAATAGCTGTTCTCGGACTTTTCGCGCTCTATCGGCACCAAACGAGGTGAAAAGGCCGGCAGCCCGGTTGCCATTCTCGTCTATGCCACCATAGTTTCTTTTCTTGCTTTGCTCAAGCTCGTCACTGTATGTATGTTTACGAAGCATGTCGACAATCTCAGCCTTGGAACGTGCATTCAAGAAGATAGATTCTATTTCGTCTTCCTTAGTTTGAGACAATGGTTTGAAGTTCGTGACGGCATCGCCACCGCGAAACCGTTGTGCCGCGATATCATACGCTCTCGCAGCTTCTTCTTCTTCATTGAAAGTGCCTAACCAAACTCTTTGGTGCTTTTCGTAGATTTGTGCCCCCCACCTACCATTAGGCTGAGGGACTACACCTTTGAACCTCGACGATGGGAGCTTCCGGCCGGACTCGGTTTTGGCTCCGATTTCAGCATCTATTACCACACTTGTGCCACTTCCGACACGGCACAAACATTCTGGTGACTTAGTCACCGGCAACGTTAACGTGGACATCGGCGCAATCGACATAGAATTATCACTAGTTGTTCTTTCATCTATGGAACTTCTATCCATTTTTCTATATTTCGAGGTAAAGTTCAGGATAAATCAAGTGTTAGTGATGACAAAGTGAAGGAAGAAATAGGGTGAGACAGAATAACTAGTAGTTTGAATTATGAAATGAGTTTTCCATAAAAGGGATGGATATATATAGGAGCAGCCCCAAGTTTGAGCAGCCCCAAGTTTACAGAGTAGTGATATTCATCCCCATTGGGTTGAATCCCAATCTATATGGCAATTACATGGTATTAAATGATAGATTTATTTAAATACAAAGTCACATTACTCATTTAATTAAGTCTATCATTTAATAATATGTAATTGCCACATACACTGTGGCTCAACTCTAGTGAAAATGAATAGCATTATTCAAGTTTATATGCCAAATAAATATAATAAATTATACAGTTGTCACAAATTTTGTAGATTTGGAAAAAATGGAGATGTGGGTCAGCCCTATAGATGGTAAGCAACTAGGAAGATTCACGCACACGCATAATCACTAACGAACAAGATTAGACAACACGGTTAACATACCAGTTTATGCCCTTCTTTTGAGCCCCGGTTTTGAGAGAAAAATACATTTTTGAATATTGATTTTTAAAGAATGCGTGATTAAAAATGAAGAAAAGATTTTCGATTTATGTATAATATTATTTTATTGAAAAATGTGTAATTAAAAATAAATTTTGAAAAAATGAATTTTTGATAAAATGTGGCTTGTTTAAGGGTTAAGTTTTTTCTCTAAAAAAGTTCAATCTATCTAGAATAAGCAATAATAGCATTAGGTAGCAAGTATATTGTGGGCTGCCGATAATTTTTTTACACTATCTAGCACAATAAATTATAGCTCAGCCTTAATATGAGTCCATTTAACATGACTTTTGTAAAGTTAAAAGGAACTTTTGAAATTTGTGAACTCGTTTGACTAATTTTTTTGAAGTGACTTTGGTAGCTCCAACTTGCTTTCTCTTAAAGTAGTTCCGCTATAGGAAGTTCTTTTAAAACCTAGTTTCCAAAAATAAATAAATAAATAAATAAATAAATATATATTAAGATAAGTTTCTCTAAGAACTCTTCTACAGGAAGTAAAAATAGAAGTCATATCAAATGAACTCTACGTATTTGACACCTCTGCATATAATCTCTTCTTATCAATGAGAAAAAGCCAACACATTAACATCTGATCGTCTTCTCATTCTTCACATCAACACATTTAAGAAGACAAGAAGTTCGGGATAACAAATCTCAAATCACACAAATGAACGCTAAAACAAGTGCTTATTGTGTGTGTTTGGGTGTGGCCGAGGACGAGGATGAGGACGAGGACGAGGACGACGTGGATGGTGTAGATAATGAACAAGTTGATGGGATTCACATGAGGGTGGACCAGATTTTTCCGTAAGTTCATCCCCCCTGATATTTGCTGCTACTGCTGAGTCTTCCACTATGATGAGGATGTGATGGGCCATTTTTAACTAGGGATGGATGGACTTAAAGACAAATCTCATCCAACAGCATATTCCCATAATTCTTACCTGGCATTTTCTCATTCGTCCACTTCTCCCCATGTTTGTCTTATTGGTTAGGTTCACCTTAATATCTCTGAAAACATAAAATCCGGTAATCCCAATATTTCCACCTAAGAACATTGACAATTTCAATTCAATTTGACGTTTCTTTTTCTTTTTCTTTTTTTTTTTTTCAACATATGAAATAATGATATTTGAAATTTACATCATCCATAGGTTTTAAAATTCCAATAGTCACTATAATTTCAATATTATTTCTTAATCTTCACTAAACATAAAAATAAATAAATAAACATTAAAAATAGCCACCTTAATTTCAAAGTTTATCTCATTTCATTTGAAAATTAATGATTTTGTTCACATAACCATCATCGAATCAATAAATTTTCAAATGCTAGTCTTCAGTTTAACGTGCAATAAAATTTAAAGAACTACATTTTATGGACCCTAATTATAATCGTCATCATACTCAAAAATAGTGTCTATCTGACATTCACATTTTTTGTCTTTAAAGTTTGTTTGAGTTTCGTCATATGAGATTACAATGAAGATGAGTAATATGTTTCACGAAATATATCGACGAATAACAATTGTAAATAAATTAATTTAAATTGAAATTTTAAAGAAATTATAATGAACCCAAATAAGCACACAATGACTTGGGTTCTCTTCCCATCTAAAATGAGTTAGAGACCATAAATATTTTGGGGCCTAGCTAATCTAAGAGTACCTATAGGCTCATAGGCTATAGTATTTGTCAATAATAAAAAGGGAAAAAAATGGCAAATTTTCATTCTTGTCAATTGAAAAGTGCCTAATTTTGAAAACTCTTGCAAAAATGACCAAATTTGGTATCAAATGAAACAATTTTTTTTCCAATTTGTCATAAATTTCGAGAAGAACAAGTAGTTTCCATAAGAAACTACATTAATGCTAGCTAATACTTAATGGATTCATTTGTTTTTATTATCTATTAGGTACTGGCCAAGAATTTTGAGAAAAAATGAAGAAGATAAAGTAGAAAAGTCATTAGCACTAAAAAATAATTATATATTTCCAATTCATAAATAAATCATATAATTTCATTTCGAAAAATTTAATCTTATCCAATTTTGCAGTTGATTGGGTTTTTCACCATTCTCTATAGAAGGTAATTTTTCTTTGAAATCATATTTTTGTTGATAAGTTGTGTTTAATAGCTGTTATTCTTGACATTTCATGACGATCTTAATATTTTAAAAAGTTTTTATCGATATTTGGACCATTTTTATCTTGACACTTCATTTGTTTAGAACGAGATTTCATTTTGAATATGAGAGTTCTCCACATTTCATAATGTTCTGGACATTTTAAGTTTATTTTTCGACATTTCATAAATATTTTATTTACCAACTTATAGGGAAAAGTGATAATTTAATGCATGATTGACATAGTATTTTTAAAATAAGTATTATATGTTATATGTCAAGTTATTATTGGTCAACACAATTATTAATTATATAAATAATTTTGTCTTTATTGTGAAATTCAAAATTGTTAATGAAGACATTGTGGTTTATATTATACTCCCTCCGTCCTAATTATATAGGTTTGTTTAGTTTTTCATACGGATTAAGAAAACTTATTTAATGTAATTGGAAAATTAATTTTTGCCACGATCTTTTCTAATTTGCCCCTATTTAATTTTTAGTGTGTAAAACTAAATTATTGTTCGAATTAATAAAGAATTTGAATTTTCAAGGAGTTTGCATATTAAGTGAGAAAATTTAATAAGGATATATTAATAAAAGAATACAACAAAATATTCCATATTAAGAAATAAGCCTATATATTTGGGATAAGAGAAAAATGAAACTCAACATATATAATTGAGACGGAGGGAGGAGTAAAATTGATAATGAAGAAATTTTGTACATTTTTACAAACAACTATGCAAAGGTGGACATTTTTTGTCATTTTTTCTAATATAAAATAGAGAGTGATTCTGTACGGAAAGTACCCGGTCTATATGGGCCCCACCTGCAAGTTGAGAATAAATCAATGGCTTAATGACTGGGGGTCTATTATTCTTGCAATTTCGTTATTGTGGGTCCCAATCTGAGATTAGTTTCGATTTATTATGTGAATTCCATTGAGATTTGCATGTTTTTAATTGGTAAATAGTACGAACTATTATTAAAAATTTGATAATTTTGACGGTAATTATATAGAGTGTGTTTGAACCATATTATTTTGAAAAAATATATTTTAAAATAATAAATTAATGAAAAATATGTGGTTGAAAAATGAGAAAAAGTTATTGATGTGATGAAAAATATTATTTTATTGAAGAATATGTGGTTGAAAAAGAGTAGAAGAATGAAAATAAAAATTTTAATGTGACCCAAACAGGGGTTTAATTGGTATATTAGTCATACGGAAAAACACTCGTTTTTACTAGCGGGAACATGTTACATGTGAATAGAGGCAAATTTTCCTTGGAAGATTGAATTATTTTAGATGTATATTATTGTTTACATTAAAGATGACATTTTTTTACATGTCAATATTTGGTTAGTGATGTGAAGTGATATTAGGAAAATCAAAAATAATGATGGGTGTCATTTGGAAAGATATCAAATTTAATGTAAACAATAATGTACATATAGTACGTTTTTAGAAGATTATGGACTGTCACTGTTGTAGTATTTTTAGGGGGGAAATTCCGGGTTACAAATGTTTTACAATATTAATTTTTTAAAAAATTGTGAAAAATTTTAAAAATCAATGTAAAAAATGTAACCTCCGATAAAAAATATTGTGACCTATGATTTAATAAACATGTCATGTTTACAATAATACACAATTTATAATCACAATCACATATTAGTCACAAATCACACAATGTCATAATCACATAGACAATTTGTAGATATTTAATCCCAAATCAAATACATTTTAATAGATCAAAGAATATTTATTAGTCACAAGGTACTCAATTATCTAATCACAATCACTATTCATCTCACTATCTCACCTCACGCCCCTCCACCAACGTCAGCACCACCTCAAATTCAAAACGCATCACCACTTTCACCTCAAATTCACAATCATCACCACCACATCCACCTCCAGTTCAATTTCGAGTGAAATAATCAGCATTACGGCTCCCCGCCCCACCTTACTGGAACCACCTAAATCGTCAATATCACCTCAAATTCACAACCTAACACTACAGCTTGCACCTCAAATCCACAATCACCACCATCACTACCCAAATGGGACAACAAATCTTGATCGTTAAAATTGACTACCCCCATCATATATAATTAGTATTGAATCTGCATCTATTACAACTCCATGATACAAAACAATTTTATCACCCATTCACACACTTGCAGAATCCTCAATTATTCATTCATTCTAAATTCTCCACCCAACCCTACCACAAGTTGCATCGCCCTTGACGCTCCCAGTTTCTCATTACAGCTTTGTCCATCAAAA